ATTTGATCCATTGTTTTCTTTGCTGTACAGAAGCCTTTTAATTTAATGAGGTCCCATTGTCAATTGTTGGTCATAAGTCTCGAGTGACTGATGTCCAATTTAGAAAGACTTTTCCTGTACCTATATCTTGTAGCATACTACCTATGTTTTCTTCTAACATTTTCATCATTTCAGACTTCACATTGAGATTTGATCCATTTGGAGTTGACTTCTATACAGGATGATAGGAATGGATATAATTTCATTTTTGTTCATGAGGCAATCCAATTTTGCCAGTCACATTTGTTAAAGATATTGTCTTTCTTCCAAGTGTTTTCTTGGCACTTTTTCAAATAACAAGTTGCTGAAATTGCATGGACTTATGTTTGAGTATTCTAATATATTCCATTGGTCTATATGCCTGTTTTTGTGCCAATACAATGGTGTTTTATGTGGGGAGCTGCCTGCCGTCCCTGCAGACGCCATTACAAGATGGCGCTCACATCTGGTTCATGCTGAGCAGTAAATAAGTCAGTACGCATGCCCGAAGTAATTTTCCACCTTCTAGTCTCTGCCTACCTTGTGGCGTGATATGGGCTGATGAGTTTGCGACCAATCAAGAGTTGCCACGTCCAAGACGGGCTTACTAACCTATATAAGGGCTGGGTTTCCGACATTCGGGGTCTTCGCCCTGTAAGCTTATGCTCTCCCTCTCAAGATGCATTAAAGCTTTTCTGCAGAAGGATCCTGAGTGTGCCGCGTCATTCTTGCTGGCGAGACGATAGCGCGGGACATCCTTTCCTCCCCAAGTTGGTTTTGGTCAGTGTTTTACCAAAGCAATGGACACCAAACCTGAACAATGACTTAAAGTATAGTATCATGCAGTATGAGCAACTGGCTCAGTGAGACTGCTCTCATCCCCCTGGCTGAATTCAGACAGTGAGATAAAAGATGCAGAGCCACAAGACAGAAAGAAACTGGGTAGCCAGAAGTGATGGTGTATGCCTGTAATTCCAATATTTGGGAGGCTGGGGCAGGAGATTTGTGAGTTAGGTCTTGTTTCAAAAACAAGAGGGACGGGGGCTGGGGAAATGACTCAGTAGGGTAAAGTGCTGCTGTGCAACCATGGGCAGGGAGATGGAGAAAATCAGGTCTTGGGCTCTCAGTGGCCAGCTAGTCTGTCCAATCAATGAGTTTCAGTGAGACTCTGTCTCAAAAAAATGTAGAGAGCTAGAGAGGTGCAGGACATTGACCTCTGGACCTTATATGTGCGCGCGTGCGCACGCACGTGCATGCACACACACACACACACACACACACACACACACACACAGTCTGCCTCTCTGAATGGCTACAAAGTACTCACTGAACTGAACCTGGGACTTAATTCAAGCACGAAGTAAATACATAGCCTGACCAGCTATTATATGGTTGGATGAGCAAAAGTTCACACATCATGTCACAAGACCTTAGGAATATCCTCTAAGGAATGAAGCTGCAGTGATGTGAGCTGTCTGGGAACTGTGCACCAAGCTCACAATCCCCCTGCCCAGATCGTGCATCTTGCCACTTCCAGGCAGTCACCCAACAAACCTTAGTCTCCGTTTCTCAGAGATGTTCAGCGCATACTTTCGGATGGACTGGCTGTTGAGGTTTTCGGTTATCCCACCCTCCAGCTGGGAGCTGTAAGAGTCCGTGGGCTTTAGCAGCGTGCCACTCTGCTTGTCCCGGGACAGGATGTTTGTCCTCCTGCGTGCAACTGAACAATAGCTTGGCAGTTCTTGAAGGAAGTTCACGGGTGGAGAGGAGAAGCAATTAGAATCCAGAGACAGGTTCTCTAGGTAGGAGAAGAAAAGCATCATTCATTCCAGATTGCTCAGGAGCCAGAGAACTCTGGCATGGGTGCCCTGAATCTCAAGGACTACGAATAAGCCTTGCAGAGAGTCATTTGCCCAGTTGGGGACAGAAACATTTGGATTTTCTTTTCTTTAATGTAATGGGGATTGAACCCCGAACCTCAGAAATGCCAGGCAAGTGCTCTACCACTGAGCTACATACCCAACCCTTTTCTTCTACTTATTTATGTATTTATTTATACGAGATTTTGCTAAGTTTTCTAGGCTAGCCTTGAACTCACAATCCTCCTGCCTTGGTCTCCTGAGTAGTTGGAATTACAAGCCGAAGCCAACAGGACCAGCTGTGTCATTTTGCTTTTTTTGCTTTTGTTTTGTTTGCATGTGTATGCATGTTCTCATATGCATGACTACATGTGTGTGCAGGTGCACATGCACCCGGGTACACATGTGGAGGCCAGAGGTTAACGTCAGGTGTCTTCCTCAATCTTTCCCCACTTGAGCCCAGAGCTTTACCAATTCAGATAGTCTAGTCAGCTTGCTCCAAGGATCCAGTCTCTGCCTCACAAGTAAGTGCTGGAATTATAGGCAAGTCACCATGCCCACCTGGCATTTAAGTAGGTTCTGGAGATCCGAACTCTGGTCCCCATGCTTGGGTAGCAAGCTTTACCCACTGATCCATCTCCCCAGGCCCTGGCTATGTCTTATTTGCCATGATGGTGCTCAAGATAGTGACATCATCTTCAGATATATCTGCAAAAAGCTTTAAGTTGTAGGATACCTATGAGCACAACCATCAGCTAAGTGCACAGTACATTGCCACATGGGGCTAGGGATAGTTGTTCTATCTCAGATCAGTGTGGGAGAGAACTGTAATGCGGATAGCATAACTAAGAAGCACGGGTGCTAGGAGACTGCATATTGATAACTGGGTCACCAACAAGAATAACAGTCACTAAGCATTTCTAACATGACAGGCACTATGTTAAGACGGTCACACATAGCCAGATTCAGTGCAACATCCAAGCAGTCCAGCTACTCAAGAGGCCAAGGCAAGAGGGTTGTGAGTTTGAGGCTAGTCTGCAAGTTAAAGCCAGCCTAAGCAACTTAGTGAGACCTTGTCTCAAAATCAAAATCAAAAAGGAATGTAGCTCAGTGGTAGAGTGTTCACCTGGCATGCTGGAGACCCTGGGTTCAAAGCCTAGCTTGGGAAATAAAAAGAAGAGAGGGAGACAGACAGACGGGCAGACACACTCTAGTGAACTGGACTGTGCTCTGCTTGGACCCACAAGATGCAAAAGTGATACTGTGCTGTTTCTGAGGCAGCTTTGGGAGGCTTTGCAGGCTCTGCTGTCCTCCAGAGTCCCAGCAGAATGTGCTCCATCCAACCTGCTGTATGGAGGTTCACAGCAGATAGGGACAATCACCCACTGAGGCCATCTGGGTACGTCCACTCCCTGAGGCAGAGAATACTATTCTCCCCGCTGTACGGATGAGAACAGCAATGGATGGTGACTCTGTTCCTGTCCACTTTTCTGTGCCCACCCAGGCTCTCAGCCCTCAAATCACACTCATTTAAGCTCTGATGACACCCATTTAAGGATCTTTTCATAAGACATAAGGATCTTTTTTTGTTTGTTTGTTTGTTTTTGAGACAGGGTCTCCTTGTAGCCCCAGCTGGCCTGGAACTCACTTTGAAGACCAGGGTGGCCTTGAACTCACAGAGATCCGCCTGCCTCTGCCTCAGGTGAGCGCCACCATGCCCAGCTGATGACAGAGTCTTTGCTATGTAGCCCAGGCTGTCTTGAACTTACTCTGTAACCCAGCTGGCCTCAAGATTTCTTTTTCCCCCACTTCGAGCTCACTTTATAGGCTGTGTCAGACTTTACAAACACGTCTTGGTCTCACCCCCTCAGCGCCTTTGTGGAAGCTGTTCCTTTGCTTGGAACATACTTTGTCTACTCCTTTGCTTAATGAACTCCTCAACTATCTCTGCCTCAGGGAAACTGTCCCTGGCTTTGTTACACACGTTCCCATACCCCATAAGCATCTGACAGCACTAATCATAGTACAAAAATATCTTTGTGTGGCCATCTGAGTAATGTCTTTCTGCCCGTGGGACTTTAAAGTATCGACAGGCTGGGCTGTGTTGGCATCCTGGCACTTGTAGCCCAGGAACTAGCACCATCCTTGGCAAGGAGTAAGGGCTCAGTAAACACTCACTGGATGGACAGGGTTGACTGGTGTTTCTCATTTGCCTGTGTTTAGAGAGCATGGGTTGGGGTTGTTGGAAATAGCAGGTTTTACTGAGCCTGTGCGGTGGTCAAAGGGGAGGGACACCACTCTCAGGATGAATTTTGTGCCTAATCAGATTTCAGTTGTAGGAGGCTGACTCTGAGCTGAGACAGAGGTGACGAGGGGAGAGCCATAATTACCTAAGCAATTACCTCCATGGACACCCTAATTTCTATGCTTCCTGTTGGGCACCAAATGGCTTAGCTTTGAATCCCTTTTTAGCTGTGTGTTTTGGGGAAGTTAGTTAACCTCTCTGAGAGGTTAGTTAACCTCTTTCTGGGGGTGAGGGGAGAGAACATAAGACTCATGGATACCTGGGGAAGGGCAGAGGACTGGGGGGCAGGGGTGCAAGGTCTCAGTGAGGTGGCAGACACAGTGCCCCCTGCAGGTGTACCAGAAGGTAAGGAGAAGCTGGAGAACAGGTGCCCCCCTCAAGATATGCAGATCCCTAACCTTTGCCCCTCCCTGACAGGCATGTTCAGACAGGAAGCAACAGCTGTCCCACCCACTTCGATGATGCTAGCACAGGAGTCTGGGTTCTGCCAGCCTCCTTGAGCAAGCCACTGCTGCCTCAGTCACCCCTGCCTCACTCACTCCACACACCCAGAGGATGTGACACATTCTTACTGAGAAGCTTTCTCAAACAAATAGGGGTGCAAGTGATTCCGGAGCTGGCCAATCTGGAGTGTGGTCTTGGGGGCCACTCTGAGCTGCAACAAAGAACTATTATTAACCAGGAACAAAGGTCTTTGCGCATGGAACCTGTTGAATATTCAGCAGCTGTGGGGGCAGGGATCAGCACAGGGTGGGGATTTCAGCTTGGCCTGGCTTGACATGCTGGCCTGCCACCCACCAACCAGGCCATCTCAGGAGAGCACCAGCTGCTCTCATTTCAGGAGCCTCAGCATGAGCCACAGACACGCCTGTGACCCTGGCTGATCATCTGTGAGTACTCACTTTGGGCCCCACTGTTGGAAGCACAGAAAGCCAGGCCTGGTGGTGTACATGTGTAAGGCCAACAGCCTGGAGGCTGAGACAGGAGGACTGCTGCAAGTGTGAGGCCAGCCTGGGCTACATAGTAAGACCCTGCCTCAAACAAACAAACAATAAATAAGCGGTAAATAAATGCATATTATGCAATAAATAAATACTGCATCATTATACATACTACTCCATCTTTTGATTAGAACTGTCTCTAGTTTATGGATGAAAGAATTGAGTTTACAGGAAATGTATGAGTTACTTTTCTCATTGACATAACAAAATATCTGCCCCACAGCGGCTTAAGGGGAGACAGACGTATTTTGGCTCATCCTTTAAGAGGGGATACTGCCCCTTATGAGGAAAGGCATAGTTGGAGGCAAGTGAGGCAGCTGGTCACATCTCACCCGCAGTGAGAAGGCAGAGGTGCTCAGCTCACCCTCTCCTTTTTATTCACCCTGGGACTCCAGCCCATGGAACGGTGGTACCACATTCAGGGTGGGGCGTCCCACCTCAGTCCTCAGTTATCTGACGTAAGAGGTGTATCTCCTAGGTGATTCTAAGTCTCATCAAGTTGAGGATGAAGATTTGCCATCCCCATCATTGGCTGACTCGGCAGGTAAAGTGCTTACACTGCAAGCTTGAGGACCTGAGTTCAATTCCCAGAACCCACAGCACAAGGTGAGAACAGACTCTTGAAAGTTGGTCTCTGACCTCCATGTGTGCTGTGGCACACCCACCTGCACTCACAAATAATTGAGACACAAACTCAACTTAAGGGGAAAAAAAAAAAAAGGATTCACCACCACAGGACGTAAATAGAGAGGAGCCTGTCTGCTCACGCAGCTATTAAGCCTTGGAACTGTGGACTTAACATACCTCATCAGATTCCCCCAAATACAGCCTTCCCCATGAAGTAATTCAAGGGGCTGCGGATTTGAAATTGCTCTATAAATACTAAAGTACCATGCAGAAAGTGGGCAGTGACTAACTGCACTTCCCCTTGGGATAAGTGTGTTCATTCTATTCATACTGTATCTGTGTGTTTCTGCTTCAGCCACTCCATGGAAATTTCCCATCTTTAAATAAAATACATGTAACAGCGAAGTGAGCATCCTTATCGTTATCACCAGCTCCATCTCCTCATGATTTCATACAAGTCTATGCACTGTATAGGTCAAAGCACGACCTCTGCTTGATTCATCACATGAACCTGTGTAGTGAGACACAGAAACCTTTGGTACCCTGTTTCTACCACAGGGAAACTGAGGCCAGGGAGATGACAACCTGCTCAAGGCTTTGATGCCAAGAGAGTTTTGGTTCTGGCTTCTTAGACAGCTTGCTGCACTGCTCTGGGCCTCCGGCTACTCACCCTTGAAGAGTGTGAGCATCAGATGTCCATTGACTTGGTCCCGCCCAGGGTATGGCCACTTAGGAATAGCAGTTAGCGTGGGTGCTCCTTAGTTATCAGCATAATTAATTAGCTGCAGTTGTCAACTTGATACACCTGGGGAGAAGGAACCTCAATTGGGGAATTTCCTCTATTGGACTGGCCTGTGGGCATGTCTGTGAGGCATCTTCTTGATCCTTGAGTGATGTGGGATAGTCCAGGCAACTGTGGGTGGTGCTACTCCTGGGCAGGGTTGTATAAGAAAGCAGGCCGAACACAGGAGCAAGCCAGGAAGCAGTGTTCCTCCGTGATCTGTAC